CTGCCCAGGGCGGCTGGGGCGGGGCTCTCCGCCGTGGGCGGGGCCGCCCCGTCACACACACACTTTGCATTTGCAACTGGTCAAATTGAATATGGAACTACTGTATAGCTCTACTCTCTTTAAACACAGCTTACATCAACTGATTTTTAACACGATTCAGATGGTCAGACTATGGATGTAAGGAACCTCCTTGAGCCCTTTGTGACTCATGTCCTTAAGCCAAGCACTCTGCACATGGGGGTCTCAAGATCCCTCCATTAGCTCCCTTTTATATGCAGGATAAAGAACATGGCAAACATAGAAGAGGCGCCAAGATTTTGACCTCCATTGTGGAGGAAATGGGTTGCTCCCTGATGACCTTGACACCCACAAATTATTTTTTTGGCAATTCTCCCCAACACTTCCCATTCCACCCCTCTCTAGGAAAAGTCCCCGGTAGCTTCCCGCCTAATGTTGTTAGAGCATATTAAGAAGGGTGCTCAAATCTCCCCTCCTCTATGACCTCCAACACACCAATCATCCACTAACAAGATTTCACAACTGGTTGGTTTTTGGTTTTTGCAGAAACTTAGGTTTTCAACTAATGATGGGGAAGTATTGAAGGTTTTTTTGCAAAAAAAAAAAGTGTCAGCTTTCTGCACACAAAAAAATGATTTTCATTGATAACCCACATGCCCAAAAGCCAAAGTATTTTGGGGGTCAAAACTAAAACGGGTTTTCATTCTGAAGTGCCACTGCACTGCCTCCATAGAGTTCTAGTTCAGGTGCCTCATTCTTCCATTTTCCTCTCTTGGTCAGGCTCTCCAGCCATATTGCATAACGCATGATACACTGTGGCCATGTGACTATTGTGATGCATGGCCTCCTCTCACCAAGTGGGGAGATGGTGGTACATTCATGGAAGAGATGGTCTGACCAGGAAGCCGTGCCTACAGAAGGAGGTGGGGAGATGAGTTATTCAAACTACAGGTCTCGTGAGTACAGTCCTGTGCAAATCACAATTTCACAGACAGCATGGGAATCAAGAAAGTGCCCCCAAATCATGATCTTTCAACTCTTTTTAAAGGAAAATGTCTACAAAAAATGACCTTAACTAGTCTGTTTAAAAGAAATGAATTTTACAAATAACATTAATCAAAATGTATTCCACCCTTGACTTTGAATAACTTTACATGTAAAATGCATTCCATATAAATGCCATAAAATGTAATACACTAACATTAACACTGTTACAACTTTTCTTTAAAAGAAAAACACAGAGCCCTTACTTATGAGGCACCGCAGCTGCATTTCTGAATCAAAATACTTTCAATCCTCCAAAAATAATAATTTTTCACTGGGTAAAAAAAAATTCCTAATTTTCCAACTAGCTCTATTTCCTACCCCTGCAGGCTCCACATGTTCCTGGATATACATGACCTCCACTGTGGAGCAAAAGGAAATCAGCAGGTCGAGTCACATGACTAAGCACTTACCAATAGGAATGAAGTTGGCACAAACAAGCCCTATGTATGGGGCTACATTTCAGAGTTGTTGACTCGAGTCCCACAACTTGAACTCGAGTCTGACTTAGTCGCCTAGGTGACTCAACTTGAGACTCGACTTGAGACTTGCTAATTTTGTTAAATCGACTTGGTGAAAAAATTGTCCACAAATGCCGATACTGATGGCTTGTACAAAAGTGACTTGACATTTTTTAAATTAAGACTTGAGACTCGACTTGGGACTTGACTCGGAAGTGACTTTAGGGACTCGACTTGAGACTTGAACTGTAGTGACTTGAGACTCCACTTGGACTTGACAATGACGACTTGAAGACAACACTGCCACATTTAAAAACAAAAAAAAGAAGCCTGTTCTGTTTGCATAGAAATCCGTGCTCAGCTGTGGCCTATTTCTGCCAGGGCAATTAGTGCCATTGCCCGTGCAAATCAAAGGGCACCAGGCAAGATGGTGGAAAGATGAGGGTGACGCAAACCTGGTGGAGAAGTGGTTAGTGGGGGCAGAATTCTAAGCAGGGAAGGAGATGAGCTGAGTTTATGAGCCTGGAGCCAACCCCCCTCACTTTTCCTAATAATGAGCAAGGCCAGCAAAGCCACACAGGTACTCATGAAATGATCATTCACTAGCGTGGAACATTGTACAGTACACATCCCATTGCTTTTCTTACCTATCGTAGGCATCCCTAAATTCTGGTACGGGCATTCTAGGCTACTGCCTTTAGTTCTTCCGAAAATGGCGGAGTAAATGGCTATCACCATGTTCTTCTTACAGCTCAGCCTCAGCTTGTCATCTTCACAGGCTACTTTACTCTTGTACTCATCTGGAAAGAAACAGAATAGCTCATTATTCAGCTGGCCTACAACAGTGTGCAGACAGTGAGCCAGGAAAAAAGCCAACCACAAAGAGATTCCTTCCCCCTCCAGCATATGTTTATGGCTACAGTGCAGTCTGTTGGTTGGTACTCAGTGATTGGTATGGACTTAGAGATCAGAAGGATCCCCACCCAATAACCATATTTGCTAAGATAATGAAGATCATTTGCATTTGATATAGCCCCTTCCATCTGAAATTATCAAAGCATTTTACAAACATTAATTAATATAGCCACGTCACACCTGTGAGAGGTACTGTAGTTGAGCAGTATTCCCTTCTGACTGATAAGGAAATTGACTCACAGGAGTTAAATGGCTTGTCTGTGACCAGGCAGAAAGCCTGTGGCAGGACAAGGAAAGGAGCCAAGTCTCCTGTTCCTTAATCACTAGGCCATCTCTCATTCCCCAACTGTACATCTCAGACATTAACCTTGCTGGAATTTGAATGGGACACGCTGTGGTCAGCAGTCAACTGCAGCTCTTCTGGAGTTGAACAGGAGTCTTGAAAGGTAGGATATAGAGGTGGGAGTTAACATCAGTGCTAATTCAGTCAGAGTAGATGTGGCTCACTTCCAACAGTGATGAGAAGGTGAGAGGGAAAATTACTTATTGTAAGGAGTGAGCCATTCCATGTCTCTATTCAGACCCATTCTGACCATGTCAAATTGCATATGAATTCCAGCTCAGCAGTTTCACGTTGCAGTCTGTTTTTGAAGGTGTGGGGTTTTTTTCCCCCCGAATGGCAACTTGCAAGTCAGTAACTGTGTGCCTAGGGAGGTTAAAGTGCCCCCACTGGTTTTTGTACGTTATCAGGTTTGATTTTGATTTGTGTTCACTTATCACTCTACCTGGAGGTAGAGACACTCCAGGTTGTCCAATGTACATGGCAGAAACTGATGTTACACTACCATCTCTGCATCCCTACCTTATTTTCACTTCAAGCATCTGATTAGCTTCTATGACGAGGTAACTGGCTCTGTGGATGTGGGAAAGTCAGTGGAGGTGATATACCTTGACTTTAGCAAAGCTTTCGATACGGTCTCCCACAATATTTTTGCCAGCAAGTTAAGGGAACGTGGATTGGATAAATGGACTGTAAGATGGATAGAAAGATGGCTAGACTGTCAGGCCCAACGGGTAGTGATCAATGGCTCGATGTCAAGTTGGCGGTCGGTTTCTAGCGGAATGTCCCAAAGATCAGTTCTTGGACCAGTTTTGTTCAACATCTTTATTAATGATCTGGATGAGGGGATGGATTGCACCCTTAGCAAGTTCACAGATGACACTAAGCTACGGGGAGAAGTAAATACACTGGAGAGCAGGGATAGGGTCCAGAGTGACCTGGACAGATTAGAGGATTGGGCCAAAAGAAATCTGATGAGGTTCAACAAGGACAAGTGCAGAGTCCTGCACTTGGGACAGAAGAATCCCAAGCATTGTTACAGGCTGGGGATTGAATGGCTAAGTAGCAGTTTAGCAGAAAAGGACCTGGGGATTACAGTGGATGAGAAGCTGGATATGAGTCAACAGTGTGCCCTTGTAGTCAAGAAAGTGAATGGCGTATTAGTGTGCATTAGGAGGAACATTGCCAGCAGATCCAGAGAAGTGATTATTCCCCTTTATTCAGCTCTGGTAAGGTCACATCTGGAATATTGTGTCCAGTTCTAGGCTCCCCACTATAGAAAGAATGTGGACACATTGGAGAAGGTCCAGCGGAGTTAGAAACCTTCGTCTAATCTCAAGTCTAAACTTCCTACTAGCCAGCTTATATCCATTTGTTCTTGTGTCCACATTGGTATTGAGCTTAAATAATTCCTCTCCCTCCCTGGCATTTATCCCTCTAATATATTTAAAGAGAGCAATCATATCTCCCCTTCTTCTGGTTAAGGGAAACAAGCCAAGTAGTGATGGATGGCAGAACAAGGAGCAATGGTCTCAAGTTACAGTGGGAGAGGTCTAGGTTGGATATTAGGAAAAATTATTTTGCTAGAAGGGTGGTGAAGCACTGGGATGGGTTACCTAGGGAAAGGACGGAATCTCCATCTCTAGAGGTTTTTAAGTCTCTGCTTGACAAAGCCCTGGCTGGGTTGATTTAGTTGAGATTGGTCCTGCCTTAAGCAGGGGGCTGGACTTGATGACCTCCTGAGGTCTCTTCCATCTCTCTGATTCTATGATTCTATGACAGATAGCAGACAGACATGAGGGACGGAGAAGAAAAGAGGCACAGAGAGACGAAGTGACAAGCCAAAGGTCACACCATCAATAAGTGGCCACAGTGGCTTCATATTAATATAGGAAAGGACTAGACTGGCACAGGCTGCATAGGTGGATGAGGATGAATGTGCCTTATGTTTTCTCTCTCTTATGCACCTGCTCTGGGGCCATTCCTAATCCAGCCCTAAAACTACTCAAACTGTTACAATCTGTGTACAACTCAGTCTGAATGCTGCATTCGTACTGACGGGTTTCATGTTTCCTCCTGAAAAATTAAATGGACTTAAGTGGCAGAGGAAAGGTGGCAGTGACATTCAGCAAATGGCTTACTCAACTCTAATCCCCGGAGCAGTCATTTGTAGGGCAACTGAGATTTGTAATGATTAAGATATTTGCTAAGGATAATGTACCCTTTTATTGCTGGTGTTTCAGAGACACTGGATCAAATATAACTAGAGAGAGACTGGCAGGGGGAGGAAACAGCTGCAGGCTTTTCTAGACACAATTCAAAAGATCTTTATGCAAGTTGATTGTAACACAAATTGAACAACTGAGGAAAAATAGCAATAAATGTTTCTAATGGAAAAACTGGCCCTTGGAAATTGTAGATTAACGAACAAGTTATTTAGACAATGTGTACACGGATGTTAATTCATTGGACTGTGGCAAACTACTCAGAAGGGGTCAATGGAACATGAACATTTCCACATATGGCCAATGACAATTTTATAAGTGATTGTGACTGGGAAGATCAAAAGTTAGCATTAATGGTCTCAGCCTCAAAGATTTCAGTGCTGAAAGCTCCCATCTACATTTAACACTTACAGAGTGTGATGGACGGCTCTTGATTCCAGAGGTGTGTTAGGTCTGCAACTATTTTTAAAAATGACTCATTTGAAAAACTTACATAACATTGTTTAAAAAATAACAAATGACCATCTATGAAAGTGCTGGGAGCAATCCTTGGGGTCAATGATCCCTCTAATCTTTTCCATCCACGCATGGAACAAATTTTGTATGTGCACCAAAGCAAGTGTGAATGCGCCCTCTAGTAGAAACAACAAAACTTGCTGGAGGCACTTTGCTAATCAGCTGGGAATCATTGAAATCTCTCACTTACAGGGAAGACTGATTGGGAAGTACACTTGCTGAATTGATTTTGCAGTTCAAGGAGCTGAGAAGACATGGCATCAGAAGTTACAAAGCATTTAGACTATCCAGAGTATTCTACTCAGTGCTTCGGGTTCCCTCATTTTTTTAACTAGGATCCTCACCCCATTGCAGTGTATCATTTGTTATCCTCCATACTCGGCTAAATCCTCAGTCCTGCAGCTCCTCCCTTACCTTCAGTTGCTTAGTGGGCTTTGCCCATTAATTCAGGATGAAATAGGCCTGCATGCATCTAGTAAGAGTTCTTCTGGGAGGCATTCACTGTCTCCCTGGTGGATGCTTTCTAGAAGCAGTGGCCTTTGTCCAGGGTTTGCTCCAGGTGCCCCACTGGATCCCTTGTTTTGACCCTGTGACCTGCACTTCCCTGTTTTTCATTCTGTAATCAGTTAAATATACAGTTCAAGGACCCCACCTCCATCTAAGAGGTGAGCTTTTTGTTGTTCTGTGGACTCCACCAAGTACCTAGATTTTAAATACTAAGACATTTCACAAACACTGAAATATACAAAGATTTTTTTTTAAATGACTCCGTTTTTACTTTTCTTTTAATTGCATTGACTGAAGATTTAAAGACTAAAGTGTGCTCACCAGATGCCTGTTCAGAAAGTCATCTGACTGTATTTCTACACTGCAATTAGACACGCGTCGGCCACCTGAACCAGCTGATTTGAGCTTCTAGGGCTTGTGCTAAGGAACTATTTAATCTGTGATGTAGATGTTTGGGCACAGACTATAGCACAAATCCTGGGATCCTCCCACATGTCAGGGTCCTATAGTCCAGGCTCCAGTCTGAGCCCAAACATCTGAATCATAATTAAACAGACCCTTAGCCTGAACTCCACAAACTTAAGTCATCTGATGTGGGTCAGCAGTTTGTTTTTAATTGCAACGTAGACTTACTCTGAAAGTCTTACCATTATATCTAACGAGACAATAAAGCTACCCATTGGGCTAAAAATTTGCCATTTTCAAAAGTCATTCTGCTCACCCAACCACCGATAAGTCCTGACGGTTTGAAACTCATCTTGGCAAGTAGAAAGATTGTTCTTTATGGATGACCCTGTCAGATTCCTTTTAAATTATCCTTGGGATGCACCCATCCAATTTGCAGCCTTTAAAAGGAGACTTCCCCCCATCACTTTCATTAGACTAAAGCAATTGTCTTTTTACATTCTGCTTCAAAAAGGATGACAGTGTTGCAAATTAACTGTTACATTTAATTTTCAAAGCCCAGCTGAGATGCACTGGGCTGGACTGGACTGTCAGACAAACAAAGCTATATGGTGATCTAAAGGGTGAAAAAGAGAATGGTACTGAAATGTAGTCACTATATTGTCAGTTGAGGTTGACAGGGATAACTAAATTCCTATCCTAGCTCTTCAATTGACTCTTCAATTGACTCACTGGCCCTAATTTTTTTCTATTATATACTGATTTAACTCTTGTTGAAAAAAAACTGGTATAAAACTTGTTTAATTAAATTGAATTCTGCCCTTTAGTTTCCACATCCGAAATATATGTAAAATCATGGTGACCATATTTACCCTATTCACAAAGATGTTAG